GGGTGGATGGTGACCCGGTGTACGGGACGACAGTTAGCCGGACTGCAGATGAATGGCGGGATCGATGTGAGGCTTATTTGGGATTCCAGCTAGCCCAAGTAAAATGGCCAATGTGTCAATGTTGGTATTTTCGAAGATGAGATGGGTCGCGCACTCCCTGAGAATTCCACTGTCCATCGATTCGAGCAAAGGGCATGGAAACTTATACTACATTTTATTAGATGTTTCATGTTTCCTAACAAGACGCAAAACACTGTCAATCTGCAGTTCTTGGCCCAGGTTGAGGATTTGGATCAGTATAGTCGATGCAGTTGGGGATCGGCACTGCTGGCTGGTTTATACTCTGGACTGTGCGAGGCATCACAGTACACCATGCACGACGCCACTGGCTGTCTATATTTGCTACAGGTACGTATTAGTTTTCAATTGGTGTTATAATTTTTTTTTTTTTTACTTTCGACGTTATAATTTGATTTACTAGGTATGGGCGTATGAGCGGATCGAGAGAAGCGCGCCACAAAGAAAAGGAGTAGATCATTTGATTGATGAGACCACTCCATTAGCTCAGCGGTACGTATTTTCAGTTCAAAATAACTTAATGTTTATTTTTATTTGTTTCTTATTTATTTTTTTTACTAATTCAAATGTACCCCTTTGTTCATTAAGGTGGGAATGTAGGTACACCTACGGAGACGCCCCAAGGAGCAGCACCCCACCTTTTAGAGATCAATTAACAAGTCTGCGTGTTGAAGATGTAAGTACTTGTAATTTGGTATATATATTTACTTTAAATTTCTTTTCGTTCTGGTTATACTATCTAATAAAATTCTTTTCGCGCAGTTTTGGTGGCAACCATATGCACAGGTCCTTCATAGACTCCCTGATTTCTGTACACAAAGCCAAGCCATTTGGACGACCAGGCGTTAGATGTTCTGTTGGGCTATTAGGGAACCCCACGAGTTGGGCAGAGTTGTGAGACAATTTGGATACATACAGGATGTTCCCAAGCGCCCTATGATTAAAGATAACACAACATTTCTTCTCGATCACGCCCACAGTTTGTCTGGGTATCCTAGCAACAATTGGGTGGACCACCATTCTGCAGTACGTCGTCATTGGAAAAGGGGAGAAGAGTACGTGCTACGAGATTTGGAGGAAGGAGACCCTGGCTCCGTATATGAGGGGTACTATGAATGGTTCATGGTGAACACTGTCAGACTGATATCCAATCCCAAAAATTATGAATCTCAAAGATACGAGACTTCTTCGAGCCAAGTGAAATTATATGTGAGTTCATTTTATATATATATTTTTTATTTCTTATGTTTTCATTTTATTTTTATTTTTTTAGAATTTTACTCTCTTAATTAACGTCCCAATTTCTTTTCAGGGTGAAGTCTTGAACAACATTCGCGTGAGTTACGAGAAGTTTAGAGAAAAATGAGAAGATGAGAATCTCCTAGACGAAGAACTCGACAAGCATTTAGACGATATCATCAATCAAATACATGCTCCTTTTACCCTGGGTGTAAATGATGAGATGGAGGTGGAGGATACCCAAATCCTGGTTGATGAAGATCCATCTTTGCCCTCACAACCTACGCCGGGTAAAAAAGCGAAACCGTGGTCGAGAGATAAGATTAGAGGAGGAAGAAAGAGGAAGGCCCCAATCTCGCCTCGGACATCGCAACAACTAAGGGTCAACAAAATGAGGATCAAGCACATTTTTCTCGAGGCTCGTGCATCCAAGTCGAGACTCAATTTGAAGACATTGGTGGACTCTAGACTCAGTTTGACCTTGGTGGACCCGAAACTCAGTTTGACCTTAGTGAACCCGAGACTCAGTTTGGTGGACAGTCGCAACCACAACCGGGAGTCAAATTTCTCACCATGGGGGAGTTCCAATTCCAACCCCAACCCGAGCCTCAGTTTGGTGGACAGTCGCAATCACAACAGAGTTCAATACTCACGTATCTTAAGAGGGGAGACAGGATTCGGCAGGGTCCAAAAAAATGAGACCTTTGATGTATTTTGCACATTTAAAGTAGTTTTTGTATTGATTTTGGTATGAAACTTGATTTGTTTTGTTGTTAATCGAATGCCGTTTATTGTTTTGTTGCCATTAAATTTCTGTTTTCTAATGTTTCATTATTGTTGGTGTTGTAAACAGGTTTAGAACTGGTTAAAACCAGTCCAATTTTTTTTTTCAGTTCTGACATAGACTCGGATTTGCGAATCCGAACTCAGACTTTTTGTAAAGGATTTAGATTTCATAAATCCGAGTATGTAGCCAACTGAGAGTTAGCATTTTGCAGAAAACAGAGTAGATTTGGATTACGGTAATCAGAATCTACATTCATTCGGATTATCGTGATCCGAGTTTTTCTAATTTTAATTTTTCAACACATATTTTTTTCTATCCGGAAATTAATATTTTATTCGTTAATACGGATTTAGAAAATCCGGATTTAGATTAATTACACTAATTTTTGTCATTGACTTAATATCGGATTTACGTAATACAAAGTCGGATTTCTATAATCCGAGTTTAGAGAGGTTCGGATTTCGGAAATCCGAATTTTTCCCCCATTCGGATTTCCTAAATCCGGGACATATAAGTTTGTCCACAAAATTTTTGGAAAGTTTATTTTTGTCCAGGTATATATAAGGAAATATATTTAAGGAAAAAATTCGTGCCTCCATTTGTATCAAGAAAATAAAAAAAAAAGTGTTTTGAAAATGAAGCAACTAGAAATTCATGTCTATATTCCGCCCAAAATGGGAATGGGCTATTACATTTTGGTCGTGATTTCTGTATGAGTTCTCATCAGTAAGATAGTCACGATTTTTCCTTCTCGTGGATTAGTAATGATTTATGAGATATCAGGGACAAAATCTTGATTTGTACTAGTGATTAGTAGTTCTCTGTTTGTGTCATAAAATTCGCATGGCAGTAGTACTACCTTCTGCAGAATGCGTACGACAACGATTTACATTCACAATAGTAATATCATAAAACTTACTCCCTCCGTCCCGTAATTATTGTATAGTTTTATTAAAATGAAAGATTTTATTTTTGGTCAAACTTAACTATATTTTACCTTAAACAACCGGATATACCCCTATATAAGTAATTGTTTAACCACTAAGATTTTATGGATAATGTTTTTTACTAAGGACAAATGTGTAACTTGATCCATAAAAAGTCAAATTAGACAATAATTTTGGGACAAAATTTTTCGGACAAAGTGGACAATAATTATGGGACGGAGGGAGTATAACAATTTTTTCTTCTGTTTCGCGATAATCATAAAAACTTACTCCCTCCGGTCTTTATAGGGTCTATTGGTTTTTCTAAAATTTTATTTATCATGTTTTCTCAATTAAAACGGAAAATATAAAAATATTTTATAATGATTGAGAGAACACAATAAATGTGAAAATGTATTTTTAAAAGTTTTTTTAATTATAAGAACACAAAAAATGAGATTTAGAAAAAATCAAAATGGCTTTATGATAATGGCGGGAATGAATATTTTTTAAGTACTAGATTTTGTTTTCTTTTTTATTTTTGTGGTAAACTAGCTACTAGACATTTGAAGTGGTAGTTTGGTAGTTACTTTTGTTACTGGCTCGCTAAAACTGTTTGAAGATTCCACGTAACATATATGCAACCTGTTTGGCTGATCATTATTATTAATTCTTTAATAATTGAGTTGACTGCATAGTTGACTGGCTGGATTGATGTGCACTTCCACGAGAGTGCATGCCCCATCTGAAACATATAACAAAATTAGACCCTCAAAATTAATGCAATCCATCAACTTGTGTAGGAAATGAAACAAACTAGTAATGAAGATTGAATTATTCCTTTAGCTTCCGGAAAATGATCAATTAATGATTTATAACAACAAAAGCTCATTAATTTTCGCTCTGTAAAGTTTGGTCCACGTAATAGGGGACCAAAGAGTTTGGCCATATAGGGCTCTTGTTTTTGGAAAGATGTCCTTTTCTTCCGACGGATAGGTGGAGCAAAATGTATTTGTTTCATAATAAGTATATATGTATGAAGAAAAATAGGGGGAAAAAAGGACATACCTTACAATTTTTGTGGTATATGTGACGTTGGGAAAATATCACTCTAGACTTAATGATCTGTAGGGTTGTGAACTTGTGGTTATAAAAAATTTCATCCCCAAAACTAAGGGCCTGTTATAGAGAATACTAATATACGTACCCTAGGTAGTTTCAGTCTTCTTAATCTATTCAAGTCAACTCTTATCATGATGTATTGCTTCATAGTTGCACTAAATGAAATAAATACGGTGGAAATTATACGAAATTAAGCGTATATACCATGTATATACATAATTCAATAGGATTGAAATCCTGATCCTTCAAATCAGTGACATGTAAGATTATTTCAAATAAAAAATGTGGCGTCACTTGATGACGAAAATATGATTTTTTAGATGATGCAAGTAATAAGTGAAAACGATTCCAAATCTTACACATATTCGCAAATAAGAGATTCAAGAATTAATGGATCCTCCTGTTAGATTAAAAGAACAACAAATTTTGCAAAAATATACTCTCTCCGTCCCATAATTATTGTCCACTTTGCCCAAAAAATTTTGTCCCAAAATTATTGTCCAATTTGACTTTTTATGGATCAAGTTACAGATTTATCATTAGTAAAAAACATTATCCATAAAATCTTAGTGGTTAAACAATTACTTATATAGGGGTATATCCGGTTGTTTAAGGTAAAATATAGTTAAATTTGACCAAAAATAAAATCTTTCATTTTAGTAAAACTGGACAATAATTATGGGACGGAAGGAGTATAATTTTGATGTTGATATCGCCTGCAGTTTTATATAAATTGTATTACCAAAAAAAAAAAAGAAAAAAGAAAAAACCAAATGAACAGTCAACCTTATGCTTAGGTGTACAATAATGAAGCATATCTTTTTGACTGTGCAAGCAAGCTCGTGGAAGCAACCGTTGTCTATTCGATGAAAGTTCAAAAAGTCTACGTGAAGTTCATCTATCTACTATGTATATTGTATTGATGCACTCGTTGTATTGCTACTTTTCAAGGGGTTAGTTGTGAAATCTTTTAATTTATGCTTCATTGAAAAATAATTCATTTTGTGTTAGTATATGATAAGTTACACTTTTTTTTTTTTTTTGGCAGAGGGAGTATATATAAATTAATCCAAACACATAACAGCCTAGCTATCTATATAGTTAAAGACCATTAGTTATACTACTTCAAGTCTTCTACCTTCCAAGTCTACTTTCCAAAGTTCAATTTAATTTCTTGTGAATTTCCAACAAACCGACAATATGATGGTTACTTGACAGAATTTGAAGAAGAGATATGGATTGCAGGAAATTCAAGATAACACTTTTATCAGCAAACGATTTAGAAGATGTTCGGAAACTCTTCAAGATGAAAGTTTATGCGAGGGTTTCCATCGGAAGCAACCCGGAGACGGAGAAGAGGACGCCGCCGGACAAGCACGGCGAAGTCAATCCGGCGTGGAATTTCACTCTGAATTACACGATAAACGAAACCATGTTGCATGATTACAACAACACGCTGGTCATCAAGCTGTATTGCAAGAGGAAGCTAGGTGACAGGTACGTAGGGGAAGTTCATGCGTCCATGAAAGATTTGTTTGATTACTCAAAACAAATTGGTGGAAGTGCTGTGGTGACTCATCCTGTGTTGAAGGGTTCTGTGCCTTCTCAAGGGGTTTTGAGATTTTCTTACAAATTTGGTGAGAAGGTGAGCATTGATAAGCAACTTCTGATTGATAATATTGATGATTGGAGCTTGTTCAAGGGCTGAAATTAATTTTGAAGTTGGGATTTATCTCATGATAATCTCCTCTATATATCATGCTTGTATGCTTGGTAATGAATCTAAGAAGATAGGATGGTAGAAGAAAGAGTGAAGAACTTTTCGTTGAATTCATACAGTAAAATGATTTTAAAAGTGGCGTACTAATGATAATGATCTTGTTATTTATATGTTTCAACCTTTTAATAGGGGTTGTAATGATTTTGTCTTCTCATTTTTATCACATCTTTGTTTGAGTCATTTTGCTGTATGAATTCACTGATTATCATTGGTTGAAAGAATTATGTACATAGTCTTGAGAACAGATTCCATGGCAGCATTGGGTTTGAAGAAATTGTATGAATTAGTTCACTATGAGCTTTTAACTTCCTTTGATAAATGATGTATATATTCATTTTCCCTTTTTGTTTTTCTTCCATTTATTTTTATTTTAAAGAATAAACGTTGGTAAAGAGGAACAAAAACCCACATCCCCTCCGCACAAACACCCACACGCAAAATCCACAGAGTTTTATTTCTCCGATTTGGGATAAATTAATCCGATTTGCATCTTTCTTGTACAAAGACGGCTGTAAGAATATAAAATGACTTAAAGTGTGACATTTTGTTTTATTGACGCAATAAAGAGGACCAAATTAATCTAGATCATGATTATTATAAACAATATTATTTGGGGAAAATAAAATATGACATGTTGTAACCATGACAGTTTCTAAACGATAAATTATACAATCTTTAACCAAAAACCCTCAAGAGATCGAAGATTCTCAGGGGAAGGAAAAAAAGGAATATAGAGAACCGAAAAAGCATTTAATTAATAAGAAAAATGATGGGTCTCCAAATACTAAGTCTAGGTAAAAACTATCTACTCAAACAGGCAATCAAAGTTGTTCAAAAACAAAAGGAAAAAAAAAAAAATGTCTATCAAAGATAAGGGGAATTGTTAACTTTTTGAGGACCAAAATTTTGATATAATCTAAATGTACGACAACAAGGTACTTACGTGACCCTCAAGGAAGATCAGTTATGCCTTTGTACTCTCATTTCTTTTGTTCTTTATTATTGTTGCTAAGACAAACCTATGAACGTGACAAACTCAATGATGAGATTATAGTTTACTCTTCTAAGAATTATATAATATTCTTGCTGTCCAAAAAAGTTATACTCTCTCTATACTATAATTATTATCCAGTTTGAGATTTCACTTTTAATATAGTTTGAACTAAAAATACAAATCAAAGGACATTAATTTTGAGATGGTGGAAGTATATATTTTAAATTTTGATATTTGTATTAGAAATAATGAAAAATTAAAAACTCATTTGGACAGAGAATGTACTTCCATAAGTCTTGTCACAAATCTTGGTTTTATTTCATAAAGAGTCATATTTTGTGTTTTCAAGCTTAATGCCAATAGTTTTAACTTTATTGTTACAAACCAGATTATAGTTTAATTATGAATAATCAGAATCAAATGAAGAAATCATGATAAATAGCTCAATTTTTGAACTTTGTACCTTTGTTTAAGAATTAAATTTTTTAGCTTGACCAAACACATGAGTACATCTTATAATGAGACGGTGGGCGTAATGTAATGTATAATATTGGACTTAAATTTCCAATACCATTCTTGATTTTATTTTATACTTTTGTATTATTCATAACAAGATATAAGTGTTCACTTTCTTGGTTTCTTCATATTTGTTATGCGGTGGTCCGTCGTCAAACACAGATATCACAATAACCGTGTAAAGAATGTCCGCGATCAACGAATATTTGCAAGATTATGTCTCTCAAGAGAGTTGAACCGTGATGCCCAGCAGCCCAGGGGCCAGGGACATCTCACTTTCAACATAATTAAATTCCAATATCAAGATACACTATTTATTGTTCAAGTTAATTAATATTTTTTGAAACCTTTAATACGTACATTTGTCTAATAATAATTTTTACATTTTCTGTATCATTTTAAACTTTTTAAAAACTCAACCAATATGAGGAAACAACAACTTTATCCATATATAAAAGAATGAGCCAATACATCAAATTTAATAACCCACTGATGATTAGTAAGGAGATATAAATTAATAAATCGTTCTTTGGAAACAGAAAGACTAAAGAACATCTTGACTGTAAACTGAAGGACCGCGCGCGTTGCAAGAATTTTAACAATACTTTTAAATTTCGATATCAATGGTTGGCGGCAGACTGTGCCATTTTTCATTTCTGTTTGCATTTCTTCTTGCTAGCTGGGTTGTTTTATGTCTTCGTTTTTTTTTTTAATAGTGTTTTCCGTTTGGATAGCTGACTCATCAAAAGGAGTTAATTTGGTCCATTGAAATCAATTTCCCTTTGTTCTTAAAACAAAAAAAAAAAAAAGAAAATTTAATATAGATTTTGGTCATCAATCTTTTAACGAGCACAGTTTATCATAAATTAACTTTACTGCTATGTGTCTCCTTTACTTTCAATAGGACTGAGAGGTTTTTGAAGGTTTAACGAAACACAAAAATATTGTTGCAAACAAAGTACGTAGTCGGTATTTTTCATGTGTAATTGATTTAATCTATTGAGCATTACACTTGTTTTTTTTTTTTTTTGAAAAAAAAAAAGGAAAGGGAAGTAAACTCAAAGGACTTCTAAACACCTTTATAGATTTATTATCGTCAAACCATATGTGATCTCTTCATGGGATTCATTTATTCATTTATCCTTTTACTGGGGGGATTCATCATTTATTTTTAAAGCCTCCTTGGCATTTTTCATGCATGATGAGTGTCGAAATTACGTACAATAAAAACGCTGTCGATGTAATTAATTTGCAACAGTCGTCAATAATTTGTTCTAATGCTTCACAACGATCATAGTACTTTTTTTTTTTTTTTGGATCCATTAAAAGTGCTTAAGAACTTCCAATTGAAGCCTCGGATTCTAATCGAATAACAAATGACCTGGGAAAGAACTTCGCAACCAATGCCTTATATTTTCTTGGCTGACGATTGTTTCAAGATATATCTACTCTTTAATGTAGGTCCAAATTGTCTCATTGATAATTATTTTATTATCGTATTTTTTCATTTTTGAATTTGGGAATCTAACAAGTTGGTTAATTAGTAAGCATTTGAAGTGGTAGTTGGGGTAGTTATTTAAGTTAGTGACATTATGGACAAGCCTAGTCAGAAAAGGGTTTGAAGACTACACATAACATTGGCAACCTGGTTGGGTGATTATTAATTGAGTTCATAGTTGACTGACTTGGATTATGATGCATTTCCGCGACAGTGCCACATCAACAAATGAAACTGCAAGCAAGTGAACCACATATCCATCAACTTGTAGGAAACGAACAAACTAATGAATTAACGACCAATTTGTGCCCTTCAGCTTCTGGGAAATGAACCAAAACCTCATTAATTTTATTAGAAGTTTGGTCCATACCTAATGGGGAAATCGGGAGTTTCATTATTGAAGTTGAGGTCCTGAACATCTTCGAGCATATAAACACAAAAAAAAAAAAAAAAAAAAAGCAATGCTTGAACACTCTTATTAATTTCCCAAAAAGGATCCTTTTGACTGTCGAATGAAACTAACTTAAGAGTGATACTTGGGTGTTTAGAAAAAAAAAGAAAGCAATTTTGTACTTAAAGTTGGAACATGTCATTTTAGAATGAAGATTGTGGGGTTGTGAACATGTGATTGTAATTTTCATTCCTGAAGCTGAGGGCCTACGATAATAATACGCACATTGGTCTGTTACAAAATTATTGTCTTATATAAAGTTTTACTTAATGTAATTTATGCTGGAAAGAAATAAAAATCCAATCTAAATAATTGTTTTGGAATAGAGAGTACTATATATATAGTTTCAACCATACCGGCCTTATCACTTTTGATGCCTCATTTCAACCTGAGTCTCAGAGTGTTTTCTCTAAATTGATTTGGATTTTATCGAAAGAAGTTAATTTTGGAGTCGATTATTTGACTTTTCTACCATAAATTAGAAGCATAGTATTAATGTTTAGTTACGTATTGGAGTAAAACATCTTTGTGAATGTCCAGGAAGATTTCAGGTCTTTCCATGGATATAACTCAAAAAGGTTGAAACTTGAAACCCTGAAAATTTCATACGAATGTTCAAACCAAAGCGTTCTTCTCGTCATATAATTACGGAATTTTCAAAGAGAGAAGAGTAGCAGTAGTAAATTGATTGAAAAAGAAAGAGAGATCTAGAAAAACATTAGGGGGACTCAGCTTCCGACCACTCTAATATCTCATTCGAGGGATTAAAGTTAAATTAATTAGTAATGGTGAACCAAATGACGATTGCAAAAATTCGTCTACATTGGATTAAGGTAATAGCCTAATAGGATGTACTCTCTCTCCGTCCCAGAAAAAAAGTACAGTGATTTGTATTACAATTCATAAATTAAGCTATTTTAGTATAATTTATAAGTTACAATGTGAACCATTGTTTTAGGGCAAAGAGATTGTTCTTTGTTTTAATAAAATGAATTAACAAAGATTATTTAATGTGAATTATTTACTAAATTATTATACTTCCTTTGTTTCAAAATCTTTTCCCTATAACATACAGTCATGTATGTATACATACACCATCATTGAGTTAGTGAATTGATGCCATTTACAAAGTATGGGGGTTTATTAAGCACTAAATAAGGTGAAAACGTACTCTTACAAAGTATAATCAAGAAGTTCATTCTTTACATCGCGGTGCATGGGCATGGAGCAACATTAAATCTTTTGGTCAGCTCTCCTACTTATCGAGCTGCTTACTATGAGCGAGAGGGATTAGTCACTGTTGTTGACGGTGGACACCCTGCAATATGAAAAAAAAAAATTCATTCTTTACATAATTGTTGAATCCTAGTATCACTAAATCTGTTTGTCTGTTCGTCCAAAAAAAAAAAAAACTCCTAAAAAATGAATTAACATCTCAACTGTGCGGGCTCGTGGAAGCTACCATTTTCCATTCGATGACATTTAAAAATTCCCAAGTGAACTACTCATATATGTAGTGTGAGGCGCGCTCGTAGTATTATTATTTTTCAAGGAGTTGGTTATCAAATCTGTTAATATATATATATATATATATATATATATATATATATATATATATATAGATTGCAGACTGACTATATATATAAAAGCAAAAAGTTCCTTTACACAACTTCAAGTTCCACCTCCAATTCTAGCTTCCTCCCCAAAAGTTCCTTAACTTGTTTTTCTTCTAAATTTCTTACAAACAAAAATCTACTCTTTTTACATGAAAGAATATCAAGAAGGCATGGAATGCAGGAAATTTGAGATAACACTTTTATCAGCCAATGATTTAGAAGATGTTCGGAAACTCTTCAAGATGAAAGTTTACTTAAGGGTTTCCATCGGAAGCAACCCGGAGACGGAGAAGTGGACGCCGCACGACAAACACGGCGAAGTCAATCCGGCGTGGAATTTCACTTTGAAGTTCACAATCAGTGAAACCATGTTACAGAATTATAACAACATGCTGGTGATCAAATTGTACTGCAAGAGAAAATTAGGTGACAGGTACATTGGAGAAGTTCACACTTCAATGAAAGATTTGTTTGATTATTCAAAACCACTTGGAGGAAGTGCTGTGGTGACTCATCCTGTTTACAAGGGATCTATTTGTTCTCAAGGAGTTTTGAGATTTTCTTATAAATTTGGTGAGAAGGTTAGCATTGATAAGCAACTCTTGATTGATAATATTGATGATTGGAGTTTGTTTAAGGGCTGAATTTTTTTTTGCATTTTTCAGTCTCATTTCCGGCCATTCTTATCATCATTTCCTCATCAAGTTGGACCATAAATGTATGGTCGATAAATTGGAGGAATATGAAGAGATGGGAAAGGGATTTGTGTATAGATTTTTCTTTTGGAAATTTTGATAGATGGATCTACTTCCGTTGTCCCGTAATAATTGTCTTATTCGCAAGACTAGTTTAGTTTCAGAAAGTAAACGATAGTTTAGAGTTTTAGCTATGGATGATGTTAAGATTGAAATGCAATCAAATGCATTTGTCTTTCCAAGCGCGATCTAGTTGCATTGTTCTTTGTGCTGGATATGTGGAATGTTTTTTGGTTTTTTCACAAACTAAAGTCAATCTTGAACGCTTAATGCCATAGGTCGATGTTACAACTTTTTGAAGTATGACCATCATAGGAGATAAAAGGGAAACGTATACCATTTAATGATGAACGTCAGAAGAAATTGTGTTAGATGACTTTTCGTATGTTCTAAAATATAAACCAATAAAAAAAAAGGTCAATCAAACTTTAGTGCATTATTTCAGACGACCCAAAGAATCGATCCAGCAATTTCAATCATTGGAAGCAAATTACGTGAGACTTACTCTAGAGGACTTTTCAATGTCTATCCTCTAGTTCTTTTCCATTTTTGCAAAGAGAAATATACTTTTGTTATCGAATTCTGTCATATGGATGATACTTTGCTAAAAAACCGCTGGAATATTACTTGCGCACAGTATATGTACAATTAAGCGAATCAAGCTTGTTCCAAAATAAATAAACAAATAAAAGTAAAGAAGCATTATTGCTCTCTCATCCATCCCAAAACCATCTTGTTTGAGATATTGAACTCGTGCTACAAACAAGATACTTCATCTATCCTAAAATTATTGTCTAGTTTGAGATTTCATTTTTAGTATTATTTGAATTAAAAAAGAAAAATCAAACTGGACTATAATTATGGGACGGAGATAGTATTAGGAAAAATCAAACTGGACTATAATTATGGGACGGAGATAGTATTAGTTTTTGAATGAAAGAGTAGCTATTAATCAGTTTTTAGGTGAAGGCGAATTTATTTACTCCAAAAGTACGCAAGTAGCTAATTACATCAGAAGTACTAAAGCAAGAATATTAGTTATGTCAACCCCCTTTGTTTCTTTCAGGGAAAGACTAAATTATGTTGTCATTGATGATCAGTATGTGATGGATTACTCCTATGATTTATGAAGCATATTGGCATTGATCACCTAAAATATTCCCAGACTATTTATTCTTAATTTAATTTTTTGTTACACAGCTAAAATATAGTGTGTTTCTTGGGTGCTTCATGCTTGTTATGCAAGCGCGTGCTGATGATTATGGCAGCGGTCCAGGGTAAAAAAACATTACTGGTTAAATTGATATATTCGTTGTTCTATTGATCGACTTATATATAGCGAAGAGTATATCATGTCTTGATTTCTAAATATTTTGAGCCAAAGTATGGTTCTCGATTTTGAAAAAGCTTAGATTTAATCCTCCAACTTTACTTGTTGTCTATTCAATTTGACCCCCTCACTTGAAACCTTTTAAGAACAAAATATTGGTGAAATCGTTCTTGTAAGTAAAAAATTGTAAGTCATTTAGTGTCGTACAATTCTTAGGTAATCCATTGATATTAATTTTTGCTTATAAATGTGTTACATGCGATGCACAAATGATGTACACGTTTAAGAAATAAGTTGGAATTAGTTCTGATTATTATATGCGTCTGTGAACGTTGAATTATAAATGTGGAATATTTGGGGTAGCCATAAAATAGATTTTTTTTTTTTTAATAACGCCGGAAACTCCACCAGAAATGGATAAACTTACGCCCATTGTAATAGCATGTAAATTACAGTAGGAGGTAAACCACCCTAGGCAAGCCCGGAGTGACAAGCTCGGGAAGGAATTCATTAGTGGATTAGCTATAACAAGTCCCTAAAGGTACCAATAAGTAAGGTGAGAGCTAACCCCAAGTAAAATAGATTGTTATTATTATGAAATTAGTGGTTTAAATTCTGTCGTGATAATCTAACCTTGTTTTGCTAATTTCTCCTAAAAACAATTGTTTTGGCAACTGAAGATTGGAAGAACATGAAAACCCAATGACTGTTGCAAGAATTACACTATAATGTTGTGCGTATACCAACATTATTATCAAATTTGGATTTGTTAAATTGGAGAATGGTTGGTGTGGAAAATTAAATAAAGCGAAACAGACAAACGCATTATTGCATTAAATTGTAGTAGCGCCACTTGGTAGGGTAAAAGTAAAACAAAAGAAAAGAAAAGTCATTTAAGCAGCGACTTAAGTCATTGTTTATGTTGGTTTGACCTCGTCCATTTCTTCTTTCTGAATACATACACCTTTTTTATTATAATTATTCAATTAGTTGTTGGTCTCATTGGAGTCATTTTCGTGATCTATTCCTTTTAAAAAATCAATTTAAATTTCTAACAAAAATATTTCGGATCAAATTTGTGTGAAAGTAAATAATCGGTTGAAATTGAATTCATGAAACAGTTACTGAAAGAAAGATTGAACTCCATAATTATTAGTTCTTTGCATACGCCAAAAATTGAAATATCTCGATCGTTTCCAAAAAAAAAAAAAACTCCCACACTCTAATTTGTTTCATAATTTTTTCTTTTATATTTTAATTTTTAACGAAATGTATTGCTTCAAGTGCTGATTTTCTTCCGATGATGACGTAGTAAAGGCAGAATCGAAGGGAACTCTCAAAATATAATTCCTCATGGGGATTGATGAGATTATTGTCTTTAAAAGGGTAGGAAAGATTGATATGTAAGGAAAATTGTGGACAAAATGCTGGAAGAATTTGTGAAATAGTTGTCAAAAAGAAGAATACATTGAATTGATGAGGTTGACGGATAATCTAATTTCTGATGGTGGTTGGTGTGATTGCAACAATAATTATTAAGCGAGGCCACTAATTAGAAGAGCCATTACCACAAATCTTGCAGAAAAGGTTTGAACAAAACATTGTGATTGGTTGTAACAAAGAAGGTGATTCTCACTAGTTTTCAAAGTTGATACAAAAGGCAGCTTCTTTTTTTCCCATTAGAAGGGTAAACAAGTCTAGTTCAATCCCAGTTGAGAAAGCATGTTGTAATTAATTATTGGTATTTTTTATTCTCGCTGTCCTAGAAAAATAGCTCACATTATATTTTTATAAATTGTTCTAAAAATAGAGATTTTTTTTTTTTTGGTCAATATTCGCTTATAGCACATTATTGATAATTCTTTCAGTTTGCTGCTAATAATAGATTAGATCAAAATGACTCATCTAAATTCCGATGCTTCTTAATTTGGTGAAGTTGCCACAATCAATATATCAATGCACCAATGCATCTTGGGTCATACTACTTAAACAATTTCTCTGTATTAAAATACAAGGTTAAGGTTGCAAACATCTTGACCCCCCAGGGCCCAATCGAGTTGGGAATATATTAGATATGTTGTTGTTGTTGTTGTTATTGTATTTGCTTATAGCACATTAAACAAGTTAAAGTGATTTTTGTTAGAATATATTATTTAAGGTTAAATATGTCTTACTTTGTATTCCGGAAGGTTCCGGTAAACCCTAACCCTAAACCTAGCCATGTAACTCTTGTATATATAGTCGACATTCGACTCTTTGTTAATACAGATGAATACGTTAAACACAAATACTATTTCTACATGGTATCCGGCTTGATCTTTTTCGAGCCACTTCACTAATCAAAATCTCTGTTGTTGTGTTTCTATCTTGATCTTCTCTCGCCGGCTTTGTCTTATGGTGATCGACGAAGCATCCGAGACTTCTGCTCCCAAAATTGTCATTGGTACGAGTGCTGCTATTGATCCTCCACGCCAGAAAACGATCAATCCATACAATCTTTCCGCCGCAGATAACCCTGGAACTCCGATCACCACTGTTGTGCTGAAGCTTGACAACTATGACGAGTGGGCGCATTCTGTCCGTCTTTCTCTTCGCGCCCGTAAGAAGTTCGGGTTTGTTGACGGTTCAATTCCTCAGCCGCCGGCGAACGATCTCGACCTTGAAGATTGGTGGACAAACAACTCCCTTCTGATTGCTTGGTTGCTGAATTCCATTGATCCCTCAATCCGGTCCATAATTCCCCATCGTGAGGTTGTTGCCACTCTTTGGACTATTCTGTCGGAATGTTTTGGTGTTGTCAACGGTCCCAAAATCCAGCAGTTGAAGGCGGAATTGGCTAGCTATAAACAGAAAGGCCTGAGTATGGCCTCGTACTACGGTAAACTTTAGCAACTATGGGAAGATCTTGCCACATTATGAGCAACCGTTGGAGTGTCCTTGTGGTTCAGCTGACTTTGTTGCTGCGTGTAATGCCCGCCGTGAATCTAAGAAGCTCCATCAGCTTCTGGGTTTGGATCCCTCTGTTTATGGCATGGTAAGGTCGAATATTTTGTCGCAGGATCCCCTTCCCTCCGTTAATCGGGCGTACGCCCTTCTTGTGCAAGAAGAATGTCTCAAAGCTCATGTTCCTGAGGATTCTGTTGGTGATGTCCTCAGTTTCGCTGTCCAAGGTGGTGTTCGTCCTTCTTCTCGTCCGCGACTGCCGACTCAATCCAAGACCAGGGCAACCGTCGACTGGAAGGACAAATCATCTCTGATGTGTACCAACAGTCAAAAACCCGGCCATGAAGCTTCTAGCTGTTTCGATTTGATTGGATACCCTGAGTGGTGGGGATCACCGGCGCCGTGTCGTGGTGGTTATGGTCGCGGCTTTGCTGGTCGTGGCTCTGTGGGTCGCGGAGCTGGTTCAGGTTCATCTTCGGGTGCTGCTGGACGTGGGAATCAAGGTGGTCGTGGTTCCTCTCGCGCCAATGCTGCTCACGCACCTGGAAATTCTTTTGCTGGTAATACTATTTTGGAAGGAGACAAGGCGGCTGTAACCGGTCTCACTACCAAGCAATGGCAAACCCTTGCTTGGTAAGAATTTGTCTAATACATGGATATATGACTGTGGGTATGGCTGGATTAGGTAAAACTAGTTTGGCCAAGAAAGTTTACCATCATCCCCATATTTCTCATCATTTTCATGCTCGCTCGTGGTTCACCATCTCTCAAGTGTACAATCGCAAAAGTTTGTTACTTGGAATTTTAGGCGGCATGGACAGAAATGCAACTGGAGAGTCCTTAAATATGAGCGAAGATGATGATTTAGCTAATAGACTCTATAAACACTTTAAAGGAATCAAGTATCTTATCATCTTGGATGATGTTTGGGATACTCAAGTATGGAGTAGTTTGAAAATGTCATTCCCAAACGATGTTAAGGGTAGCAAACTTCTCCTAACTAGTCGACAAGAGAATATTGCTATGGAAATCAAACAGCACTTGGAACCTCACCGT